AGGTGGATTTAAGCGTAGGTCCATCCGAAATTGGGCTAAGGCACTAGGTCGTAAAGTTCTCGTTATGGGGTCTCATTAGGCTCAATACAATTGTTGGCTCATACAATTTGTTCCCCACTCTCTAAGTTAAAGGGTATTTAGCTTAGGGAATAGATTCAATTAATCGTAGGTGTAATACAAACGAGTCGACGTCCTCTTGGGGAGGGTTTGACTCGAAGCACTTGCTATTGCCGCAAAGGCATAAGTTGCTTAGCTTGGCTCGTGTGGCCAAATGAAGGAAAGGCCTAGTAAAGTCACGATGGAGCTGTGCAAACGCCCTGAATCGAAATGCATACACCAAATCGAGAGAAGTATGAAGAGATCACAAGATAACTTTCATGGAGTAAACAATGGTGGGACCGTTTGGCTTTATTCATTCGAATAGATTAGAGCTGGATGGGTCGGTGTTGTACCCATACCCACTGGGAGAGCATGGTAATATCAAGGTCAATTTTAGTTGTGGCCGAGTCGAGTGATTTGTAAGGCATGGTGTTCTCGTTAGGCATTCTAGTCGAGACGGACGAAGTTTTAATACAATTGAAACCCCACTTTGTTCCTCATGGTTGATGAGGAGTGACTTCATTTTAGACCGCATGGTAATTGTTGAGTCGAACGAGGGTTTTGTGAGGTGCATCCCTTGGGGTTTTGTAGAAAAGCAGTTCTGAGCAAGAACCTAAATTGGAGTGAGACCGTTTTGAGCGAGCCACATGCTAGGGCTTTTGATGAGCGTGTAGGTGCCATGCTTATGACCTTGATTCGTGTGGATGCCACAAGTACGGCCAGGATTTGGAAATATCTTTTGGGCAGGAAAATGAAAACTTTCATTTTCCCGAAGACCCATAATCATTCGCCACATGTCATTTGAAATGTCAGACTCTTAAATGTAAGCAGCCTCTCAACTAAGCCATTTTATCTTCTTCAACGAGAGAAAAGAAATGGAAAAGCTCTGGTAGTGGAGGTTTTTATTTTGTCCGGCTATTTTAAGCAAAAACTCATGGTAAATCTTCGTTTTTCCTTTAGTTTTCTAGTTGTTTCTTTGTTTTCTTCAAATTTGTAGTGGATTTTGAGTAGTTAAGTGAAATTTTGAGGAAAAACTGCGGTTTAGGAATATTTCAGTACAGTTTGGAAAGGTTTTGGATGAAAAGCGGTTTGTAAGGAGGTTTTACAGTTTCTAGATTTGTTTGGGTGGTTTTTGGTTTTAACTTGGAAGGAGGGTAAAATAGTCCAAAGGTCTCATTGGGCACTTCAATTGTCTAAGCCGAGTGGAGATGAATTCTTTCTTGTCCCTCATCTTACCTATAGAGTCGAGCCATGGTGAACGTGTGTCTTGGGGGTTTAGATCGTAAGTGATTGAACTTCACCAAGCCGTGTGAGAGTTGGGCTATCTATTATAGTAAAGGGAGTGGATTTAGACATAGAGTCGAACAATGGCCTTACTACTTGTATTTGGAGATTGAGTCGAGTGACGATGTTTGGCGGTGACGAATAAGATAATGCTCCTACCAATGTAATGCTTCTTGAAGGTGATGAGATGGCTCCTATCGAGGGAGTGACCGTAGCATTCCGTATGGGGTGGATATTGAGGGGTCATAGTGTTAAGCCGAGTGATGATGGCTCAAGCAATGAAGATTTGGATGCTGGTTCGAAACAGAGGGTGGAATGGGCTGACGGAAGTGAGATTCCATCTACTAGTGGTGGTCATGGAGACAAGCAGAGTCATCGCCGAGTTGGGATGCTCGTTGATAACCTGCCATCCAAGCTTGTCTCGGGGGAGATGCTGAAGCTTAGGTATCTTGTATCCATAAAGATCAGAGCCCCAACCAATTATGAAAAGGTGGACTAGTTCGTGTCGGGATGGGTCAACATCTATGAGCAGTCACTAGTGGAGGGCATGCGTTTTCCCATTTTGAGGTTGGTGCGAGACTTATTGAATCACTAGGTATTGCTCCCAACCAGCTGATGCTGAACATATGGAGGTTGCTTGTGTTTATAGTGTCTATGTGTGCAGCTCCACATAAAGTTTAGAGCCATGGACCTACTGTATTCATATTATTTAAAAGATCATAGCAAAGAAAGGGATATGTACCTCTTTATGTTGCAGCACAGTAGGAAACATTTGGTGACGCGGCTCAAAACTTATGACAAGAAGTGGAAGGATGACTACTCCTTTGTAAGGGGGAAGTTGGTTTTCGGGAAGAATGGAGTCGAGGATATCCCCTTCTTTTGGCAAGCAACGGTGAGTAATCTTAGAGTTCTTGATATATGTTAGTGTACTGAATCTCATTGTTCTTTCTTTTGCAGACTTAAATTACAATCAAGTGTTGTCGGGACTACATGTTGAGGAGAAGAGTTGAGCCATACTTGGACTTCCTGAGGAAGAGAGGAACTATGGCCGTGTGATGGTGGAGTCGAACTTAAGGAAGAGCCATTTATGGGAGCACGTTTCAGAAGTACAGCAAGGTATCCTGCTTCCACCTTGGAATCTATTATTGTACGTCTTGTTGGTCTAGTATAGCAACCTCATTGTCTTTGGTAAGTCTACTCGTCACCTTCTAACTCGCGAAGAATTCCACCTTGCAGTAGAGAGGATGACGAGGTCTTTTCAAGTGTCGAGTGCGAAGGAGATTAGGGAGAAGCGTCGAGTTGAGTTAGCTAAGAAAAGAAAAAGAGCAGAACATGGTGAGAATTCTTCGACTGCCATTGGGGTGAGTCCTAGCTCCATTCCTCCACCCACTCAGAGGGTGAAGCTAACTCCAAGGGTACAAGTGCCTGATGATGATGCAATGAAGATCATCATTCCCTTAGATGCCTCAGCTTACTCCGACACCTCATTTGTTGGAGTCATGGTGGAGTTTCTCCCCCTCCCGAAGGATGAATGCCAACTTGGGAGGATTGGTGCGGTCTAGGCGACCAAGTGGACTACCACAAGTATCTTTCAAGTAAACTCCTCTATCAACTCTAACCGAGCTTTCAATACTGCCTCTGTGGATATTGAAATGTACAAAGCCTTCCTTGCTGAACAAGGTGGTTTTATAGAGTCGAGTAGTGGCAATACTGAGCCGGTTATTACTGATGTTCGGTTGGAGGAGCAAGGAAATGGAGATGGGTTACAGGATTCTGAGGTGCAACATGAGGAGTCAATTGCCCTTGAGATTCAACCGCCAAGAGATAAGGCCGAACCGAGCTGAGTGACCAGGCTGATGAGGATTCCCTGCCTTAGTTTATTTTACGCTTTTGTAACTATTTTCTTTTTTACCTTTTATAATTTGAAGTGTTGAGTGCACTGGATGATGTTTTACTCTTGGTTTTTGCCACTTGATATATAGGGTCATGACCCCACTTGGCTTCTTTTCATGCGTTTATGTGTTTATTTTTCTAAGTATTTCTACATGTTTTTTATTCTTGTGACTTAACCATTTGAGCGATTAATTATGTACGAGGGGGATAACCCCTCTAGCCCTTGGGGCGTTTTATCACAAATAAACAAATTGACACTTAGAAATATTGAATTTACCTCGATTTATTAATGAATAAAGAGTACATAAATCTGTCCTGATACAAAGTTTACTTAAACGAATTAGGGGGAGTGGACAAACCAACCTCGACCCTTTTATTGATGAAAATTTCCTAAGTTCTATGGCTAATAGAGCCGAGCGGAGTGTTATCAAAAGTGATAGACTTTTAGGTGAACTGCATTCCAACTATTATTGATGTCTCAGCCTTCTGGTGTTTGAAGCTTGTAGGCTCCCCTTCTAACATCCTTGGTGATCTTGTACGATCCTTTCTAGGTAGGATTGAGTTTGTCGGCTCCTATTTCCTTCGTGTTCTGAAACACTTGGCGTAATATCTAATCGCCAACCTTGAAGCCCTTGGCTTGGACATTCTTGTTATAGTGTTGAGCCATCTTTTTTTTATAGATGGCATTACGAATGAGGGCATGATCCCTTACTTCACCTACAGTGTCTAGGTTGTGGCAAAGTTATTGCCTGTTGTTGTCATCATTCATCCAGTGTAGCCGAGCATAGGGAATTGATACCTCTACGGGGATAATTGCTTCCAAACCATAACCTAAAGAGAATGATGTTTCTCTAGTGGAGGACTGAGTTGTGGTATGGTAGAACCATAATACCCTAGGGAGTTTATCTGCATAAGCCCCTTGGCTTTTTGGAGCCTTCTCTTTAGAGTTTGCATGATTGTTTTGTTGGACAACTCCGCTTGTCCGTTGGCTTGAGGATAGCATGGAATGGAGAAGCTTAGCTTGATCCCCCACATTTTGCAGAAGTCTTGGAAGCTGGAGCTTATGAATTGTGAGCGGTTGTCGATGACTATCTCTTTTGGTAGGCCAAACGAACAAATAATGGTCCTTAATACAAAACTTTTCACCTCTCGGTCTCTAACTTGGGCGAAGGCTTTAGCTTCAGCTTCTATCCACTTAATGAAGTAATCGCTGAGCGCCAACATGAAGACACGTTGCCCTGATGCGGTTGGGAATTTTTCCATTATGTCCATCCCTATTTCATGAATGCCCAAGGGGTGAGAATGAAGTTGAGTCATTCAAGAGGAAGGTGTGATACTTGAGCAAAGCATCGACGATTGTCGCAATGCTTGGAGGATTTGGCTGAATCATATTGCATGGTGGGCCAATAATAGTTGGTCGTGAGCACCTTATTAGCAAAACTGCGTCCCCCAGCGTGGTTTCCACACTCGCCTTCGTAGAGTTCCACAAGTACAAACTTTGCTTCCTCGGGGGTGATGCACTTGAGGAATGGACCCGAGAAGGATCTTTTGAGTAGGTGACCTTAATGGATGGTGAACCAAGCCGCTTTGACCTTCAATCGGCGTGCTTTGTTTATGTCCTTTGGAAGTTCATCATTCTCTAAGTAGTTGAGGATGAGTGTCATCCATGACTTGCCTGGGTTGATTAGTGTTACCTCGGTCGAGCCGGTCCCTATGGTTAGTGCTTAGAGGTGAAATAAAGGAATTATTGTTGGTGATGATGCTTGAAAAGCCGAGCCAAGGTTTGCCAAAGCGTCAGCATGAGTGTTATCGTACCTTGGGACTTGAGTGATGGCGATTTCCTCGAATGCCGATTGGAGTTCTTTGGCTAGGCTGAGGTAAGAGGTCATCTTTGGATCTCGGACTTGGTAGGAGCCTTGAAGCTGATTCACCACCAATTGTGAATCGGATTTAACTTCGAGTTTCTTGATTCCCATTTCCTTTGCAAGGGAGAGGCCAGCAAACAATGCTTCATACTTGGCTTCATTGTTGGTTGCCTTGAAGCTGCACCATACAAATTGTTGTATGATGTCTCATTTCGGAGAAGTGAGGACAAGTCCTAGCCCGCTGTCATTGACATTGCTTGAACCATCTACTGATAGGGTCCACTTAGATAGTGCATGGTCTGTCAAACATAGGAGCTCTCTCTCCACCTAAACTGAAGTGTTAAGTGCAAGATTGATGATGAAGTCAACTAGGACTTGAGATTTGATGGCAGTTCGGGGTTGGAAAGAGATGTCAAATTCGCTCAGTTCTATAGTCCACTAAATGAGCCAACCCGATAGGTTTGGTTTATGGAGTATCTTCTTTAAAGTCAGCACCACCATCGGGTGGCATTGGAAATATGGTCTTAGCTTCCTCGTAGTGGTGCTATGAGCTAGTGCAAGCTTCTCAAGCTGGCTGTAGCATGTCTCGACGTCGAGTAAAGACTTGCGGGCATAGTAGACGGATAACTGTTTTTCCTCTTCTTCTCGGATTAGCATGACCGAGATGGCTCATTTGGATACGACTAAGTAGGTGAAGAATCGTTCCCCTATTTTTGGTTTAGAGAGAAGAGGAGGCGATGTTAAATACTTCTTTAGTTAGGCTAGTGCTTCTTCGCATGTTGGGGTTCGTTCAAATTTCTTAGACTTTTGAGGGATGTGAAGAAGAGGTGCCATTTCTCCACTAATTTTGAAATGAGTCGGCTTAGAGTGACTATTCTCCCTATGAGACGTTGGACATCTTTTATGCAAGTGGGTGAGAGGATGCTCAAGATCGCACGAATCTGGTTAGGATTAGCCTTGATGTTGCGCTGTGTGACCATGTAGTCGAAGAACTTTAAAAAAGAGACACCAATCGAACACTTAGCAGGATTTAGCTTCATGTTATACTTTTGCAAGACCTCAAATGCTTGCATAAGGTGTTTGAGATGTTGCTCGGCGATCAATGATTTCACCAACATGTTGTCGATGAAAAATTCCATAGTCTCCCGACAGGTTGATGAACATCTTGTTTACGAGATGCTGGTAGGTGGTCCCAACGTGCTTTAGGCCAAATGGCATTACCTTGTAACAGTAAATGCCACGCTTGGTGATGAAGCAATCTGCTTTTGGTCGTTCGGATGTATAAGTATTTGGTTGTAGCTTGAGAAGGCGACCCTGAAACTTAATAACTTATGTCCAACAGTGGCGTCGACCAGCATGTCGATATGGAGAAAGGGGAATGAGTCTTCAGGGCAGGCCTTATTAAGGTCGGTGAAGTCAATGCATAGTCTCCACTTCCTATTCTTCTTCCAAACGACCACTACATTTGCTAACCAATCAGGGTATTAGACCTCTAAAACCAAGCTACTGCTAAGCAGCTTTTCCACCTCTTTGTTGATTACCTTGTTCCTCTCCAGAGTGAACTTTCTCTTTTTTTTTTTTTTTTTTTTTTTTGTATTATAGGGAGATGGTCTAGGTCGATGTTCAGTTGATGTACTATTGCCTCGGGGCTAATACCTGTCACGTCGAAATTTGACCAAGCGAAGCAATCTTGGTTTTCTTTTAGGAAGTCTATGAGCTTCTCTCAGATGTTAGGTCTGAGTTGGGCTCCTACTTGGGTCTTTCGATCTAGGTGATCAAGATGTATTTGGACTTCATCTAGCTCCTCCATAACTGGTTGGTTCGGCTTAGCTCCTACATCTGAGTGGGACTGTAGTTGTTACATAGTCCCTTGCTTAGTCTTGAAGGCGTTCTAATAGTAGTCCTTAGAAGCCTTTTAGTCTCTATGTATCTTTTTTATTCCCCACTTAGAAAGGAATTGAATGGTCTGATAGAAGGTGGAGAGGATGGACCGCATGCCGTGGATCCACAATCAATCGAGGATCACATTGTAAGGAGCGGGGGCGTTTAGTATCATGAAGGTGGTTTGAAGGTTGACTCCCTCTACGCAGATTGGTAGAGCTATCTCCCCTATAGTGTAATTTTGTTCTGAGCTGAAACCGAGGAGAGTAGATCGACGGATGATGTTGGACTCATCTATCACCATGACTTTGAGTGCCTCAAGGAACATGATGTTATTCTCTTGACAAGGATGTTAGCTATCGGGAAAGTGATGACCAGAGCATCATAGTGGGGGTTCAAGAGTGTCACCGCTTTGTTGTCAATGAACTCGATAGTTAGATTGGTTGCCTTTTATAAGAGAGGCCGAAAAGGTTGGACCTTCGGGTTAGCTGCGGCTCTGGTATGGCGTTTGGCCGAAAAGTAGCTTACACGACTTACCTCTAATCCGCCTGAGATCACATTGCACAACCTGTTTGTAGGCGGTGCTTTTGGTGGAGTGTAATTTGGATATCTTTGTTTGCCAGGATGTTCTTCCCTTTGTCCGTCAGGAAGTCATAGAGGTGGCCTCTCTTCAACAGCTCTACTACCTCAAGACGGAGGGCAATACAATCAGCGGTGACATGACGATGGTCCCTATAGTATTCACACCACTTGATGGTATCTTGTTGGCCTCGGTATGTGGTAACTTTGCAGGCCATTTGACAACTTTCCCAATCTCATTCATCAAATCCACTACTTATATAGGTTAGATGTTCAAGTTGTACTCGGGTATCTTGTATCGGTGGGGCGAGACTTGTGTCCTTTCATTATACTGAGTCGGATGGCGATCCATTAGGCGTCGGTTGTCTCGGTTAAAGACTCTCCTTGGTTAGTGGTCTAGCTTGGCGGGGCGATTATCTTAGCGTCGTTCAGCTCTTGTGGAATGGCGATCTTCATAGGCAGGGTGTTTGATATGGTTCACTTCATCTTCTTCCCACCTTATATCTCCTAGAGCTCAAGCCAAAACATATTCCATGGTGGAGCAATTGAACTTGGTGGGTTCCTTGCATAACTCAGTATCGAGGAGGAGCCCTTTCCTTAAGGCGTCAACTGTTGTCTCCTAATTGCAATATAGAATGGAGATCTTTTCCTTGTTGAAGCTGTTAGTAAACGATCTCATATATGCAGCGGAAACAAAACAAAAATTAATATAGAGATCGTTTACATGAGCCAAGATCAAGGATATAATTTTACAATTCATATTAAAATAAAATCTGCCGAAAAATAAATTTGAGTTTAAAGAACACAAACGCACGTTGGAGGCTCCTCCAAATTTGTCAACGAATGTTTTGCTATCGATCCAAGTGTAGGATCTATTAGAGTAGACGCCCTAGAGCCAATCAATTATTGTACAATTGACTCTTTGTAATAATGTTTATTAATCAATAAAATGCATTTTATTCTATATCGCGTAAATCATTATTATTGCAATATGTATTGATATATGTCCTTAGAATGGTAGAACCGTGACGAGGGTATCAAGTGTTTCAAATCTTGATAATGAGAACCATATGAGCACATATGGTGGCCATTCTAAAAACGTCCGTAGCCCCAGTATTATTCTGAAGTAAGGGCACAGATAATACGGTAAGGCTATCATAGTGTTGAACGACCCTGTTGAAAGGCAGTGACAGATCTCACTTGTCAAGGTTGTTTGGTGACAACCAGGTGCAACACATGTGTACTTGTTGTAGGCGAATACACCGCAGCAAGTTCACTGGACTGACCCATTAGAGGATTCCATATGGATGGTAACCCCAGTGTCTATGGAACAAATCCTCTAACGAATGTTGGTGCATATGATCCTTAGACTTGAGATCACCGAAGCGTCTTGTGCACCGATTGGTGTAGTTTGACACTAGCCTAACGCAGTTCTTTTTCAGAGCTGTCAATACGGTGGTGATTGGCTACATCAAAGAGTGTATCAAGACTATGGTGGATTGACAGAGGATTCATCACTCCCGGGTACGGGAGAAGTTATCTCACGGCGCAATTCAGTATATGGCAATGACATTAAAACTGTGGCCACAGTGAGATTGAGTTGTTGCTCTATCCAGTTTATAATACGGGTCATTGGTCCAAAAACTGAATACATAATATCGAGAGTAATCAAAGGTTGACACTATTTCTATGCCTTCGTCTCGTAGAGATAACGGATGATGAAAGGATTGAATTGTACGGTAACCATATCGTTGACAGGTAGCTACTTTGCTGAATCCGAATCTATCGGGTGGCCATGATGCTTTGCTAGGAGCCAATCTTGGTCTGTATATTAGAGAGACGATTAATTGTATTAATCGCGATACTATACACTACCGGTATGATAAGGAGCCTATAGGTCACACACATAGAAGATAATTTAAGAGCCAAGAAGAAAGAAGAGCGTTTTCGTCTTTTTGGGCGAAAGGGTATTTTAGTAATTTCACAGTGCAATTAAATTTGCTGAGGTCGTAGCCTTTATTTAATTTGTTAGAAAAATTAAATTAGTGAAATTCCGTTTAAATATGTGTTCGCATATATTTAAATAAATTATTATTATTGTTAAATGTTAATATATATATATATATATATATGTTTAAATATATATATATTTATTGATTTTAATTGAGATAATGATGGAAATTAAAATAAATCAAATTGGGAGTGTTTGGCAACATGGGGCGTTTGGGTTGGAGCCCAAGCCTATTCCGTATGGGATTAGGGCACTAAAAACATATAAAAGAAAAGTTTTAGTTGAAAAATTTTAAGTGTTTTTATTATTCCATTTTTCATTGAAAGAAAAAACCTCCTGCCCAACACACTCTCCCACACCACTTTCACTGTTTGATTGAAAAATCAAACTTTCTTTGTTCTTTTTGATCTCTTAAGGCCAAGGAGGATCTAGCAAATCCTCTTGGTTCTTGTTGATTGTCTTCGTGTGGACTTTACGGTTCGATCCTACACTTGGATCGATAGCAAACACATTCAATACAATATTGGTGGAGCCTCCAAATGTTGGTATGGTTTCTTAAACCTTGAACTGATTTTCTGCAGATTTGATTATTTATATAAACTGTGATTTTTATACCCGGATCTTGGTTAAGGAACGATCTATAGAGTTTATGTTTTTGTTTTCTGCTGCGTAACTGGGTCGTTTACTAACAGGATCGAACCACCGTAGTCCCACCGAAGACAATATCAAAAGAACTAAGGAGGGATTTGCTAGATCCTCCTTAGCCTTAAGAATCAAGAAGACAAATCAAATGAATTGATTTTGGGCAATATGATTCTGCTGTGGGAGTGTATTGAGAGGGGCTATTGTGTGTGTTTTTTCTTTTAAAAGAGGAAATCAATTTATGAATAATCACACACTTTCTTTTTTAGTAAAATAATCAAGTTGACCTAATCCCATACGGAATAGGCTTGGGCTCCAACCTAAACGCCCTATGTTGCCAAACACTCCCAATTCAATATTTTTATTTTTCCATCATTATCTCAATTAAAATCAATTAATATATATTAAATATATATTAACATTTGACAATAATGATAATATATTAAATATGTGCGAACAACATTTAAACGTAATTTCACTTATTTAATTTTTCTAGCAAATTAAATAAGGCTACGACCTCAGCAAATTTAATTGCATTGTGAAATTCCCAAAATACCCTTTTGCCTTAAAAGACGAAAACGCCATTGTTTCTTCTTGGGTATTAAATTGTCTTTATGTGTGTGACCATAGGCTCTCTCATATCGACAGTGTATAGTATCGCGATTAACACTAATTAATCGTCCCACAATACACAGACCAAAATTGGCCCCTAACAAGGCATCATGGCCATCTGATAGATTCGGATTCAGGAAAGTAGCTCATGTAACGATATGGTTACCGTGCAATTCGATCCTTTCATCATACGTTATTCGACGAGACGAAGGCATAGAAATAATGTCAACCTTCTGTACTCTTGATATTATGTATTCAGTTTTTGGACCAATGACCCGTATTATAAACTGGATAGAGCAACAACTCAATCTCATGTAGCCACAATTTTAGTGTCATGTCGTATATGAATTGCGCTGTGAGATAACTTCTCCTGTACCCGGAGTGATGAATCCTCTGTCAATTACCATAGTCTTGATACACTCCTTGATGCAGCCAATCACCACCGTGTTGACAGCTCTGAAAAGAACTGCGTTAGGCTAGTGTCAAACTACACCAATCGGTGCACAAGGCGCTCCGGTGATTAAGTCTAAGGATCACATGCGCCACCATTCGTTAGAGGATTGTTCCATAGACACTGGGATTACCATCCATATGGAATCCTCTGGTGGGTCAGTCCAGTGAACTTGTTGCGGT